AGACTGAAGGACCTGCTGGAAGAGACACACTACTCGACTTATTCTTAGCTGTTGATGTCTTAGACCAAGGCATCCTTTTAAACATCCCAACATCCTCTATGGAGTTAGCGTCTCCTTAAAAAAATTGATATATTTATATATAACTTATAACAATTATAGGCCATTTTTGTTGCTACATCCTATCATTAACAGTGATTTATAAGGTAATTTTAGCTTATATAAACGATTATCATAATTCAATATTATAATCGCAAAATGTTTTTATTATTATCACATTGTATAATTATACAAGGTCATGGAGTCTATATTCATTGATCAAATACACTATCTTGGCAGGGTTGGAATATAGGTCCTGTCTTGAGGCCTCCATAGATTCCAAGAGGTGGTCTGGTGAGGTCTCTTTGGTCCTGCAGATGGTACATTGTAGGAAGACTCCATCCTGGAAGAAGAGTGGTCTTGTATGGCCAGTTTTGAGCCTGGAGATATAGGTTGCTGCCTTTCGGTTTAATCACAAAATGTAAAAAAGTTACTGTCTTTCTCGTCAACTTTAACCCTTCAATATTTATATATTGTCTCAAATTCATCAAGTTATCAATTAAAAGCATATTAGAACAATTCAAAATTAGATAAAAATAGAAAAAAAAAAGGTCAGGAGTTGATATTAAAAACAGAAAAAGCATATCCTGACCGTGTTCAAACGAGCATTTTAGACGGTAGAGTGCCATCTAGTGGAACAATAATAAGCTAAACGTTTATTTTATTTGTTCTGTGATATTTGGCCTACCCAATTATTTGATAAATCAAGAAAAGCTAATCACGTACGTGTTTCGGACTGTTGGCCCTCATCAGCGTTATGCAAGCTGTACTTCTACGACCAAAATTTAGGCCCAGAGGCTTCCTGAGGCTTCACATGAACAGCGCATTTACGCAAGTTTATCCTTAGACATTTCTTGATTTCTCAGGAAGCCTCTGGAATCAAATTTTGGTAATAGAGGTACAGCCTGCACCACGCGCGCTGAAGAGGGCCAACAGCCCGAAACGCGTCCGTCATTTTTTCTTGATTTTGGTTCTAAGAATTTGGTTGGCCAAATTTTCACGGAACAAATTGAATAAACCTTAAGTTTATTTTTGTTATACTAGATGGCGTTCTGTCATAAAAATTCTAATGTAAGTGCGGTAAAGATATGCTCTTTTGTTTGTAAAAATACATTCCAAAATGTTTGAAAACCTTTTTGAAAGTTATTTCTTCAAATGTTTATAGGAATATTTTGATTGAATTCGAAGCTCTTTAGAGCTAATATTTAACTCAATTGTTTGCGAATAAATATATGTTATATAAAAATATTATTTCATTTAAAATATATATCATAGAATCAAATATTATGTTAAATCGACCGCCAGAGGTCACTCTTCCCCTATAAAAATTCGTTATTGTTTTATCCCAATGACCGGCTCAAACCTTTTGTACATTATGTAAATAATCTTTTGTTTTCCTCATTCTACTCGCCTTAAGCCAGGCAGTACTTTTATCAAATTATGTTCTTTTATATATTTAGTTCAATTGATTTACTGATCAAAACTGATCAAAATTATTTTTATTATCATACTTTTAAGATTTAACCACGACTGCATTAACATAGTAGGATCCTCAAGATATTCCAAAATCAAGCAGAAATCTCATCTTTATTTATAACATATATATATATATATATATATTCTTATAAATTTTGCGTGAATTATATAGAGAATAAAGTCAAGAAACTTTATACAATCCATTCAGAATTAAAATCGTTACTTAGAATTATCTACTGCCTCTTTTTCTGAAGTTATCAAATTTTAAGTTCGACTCTATTGAACGATAAAAGGTTGTTTACAAAGTGCATCGTTCAAAGTTTACAAGGAATCAATATATATTCTATTTTTTATATTTTTATTGCATTAATGTTTCAATTTTTCGAAATGGAAATTGCTGGTATTTTGTTGCACCAAAATTATCAATATATCAGTGTAGATTCGGAGCGTAGGGTCATTTCCCTTTACGCCTCGAAAGCTAAAATTAAAAACAACCGAAGACCGTTGTTTACCGCGCGTTTATTTTAAAAGAACGTTTTAGAACAAAAAGCAGGCGACTGCCGGCGCGCGGTTGGCTTCCGGCGAGCACGTTACTTCCCTGTGCGCGCGCATGCCTGCCGGCGAAAGCAGTTTCACGCGACTGCCTGCCAGCTAGAGAAGCTTTTTCTTAATTACAATGCAAGACCTTATCTATATTTACAGGTTTCTATTTTATAAATATTTCACATATTTACAATCAGATTAAAATTTGATTTTGACTAAGTGAATTCTTATAACTTTTGTTTGTTTGATTTTGCTAGTTGTGGCGTTATCCTATTGTAAAATAAAGTGTTTTATAGAAGGACATTTGACAATTATGCCGCAAATACGAAACTGCTGAAACGATTGAAGACTGTTTGAAGCAGTGATATCCTGCTTTGGTAAACATAAAACACTTTATCTATATTAATAAAATGGAAATTTCATAAGTGGTGTTCGCTAAAAACTTTCGTTACAATGCATCAATTTCGACCAAACTTTCAACATTTATGTGAAACGAGATAGAGCAGGTTTTGCTTAACATCAAAATATTTTTCCTAACTTTAACATACATAACTTTGCTGTTATCGATAAAATACAAAAATATTCAACAGAGTTAAAGTGTTTACACTTTCAAAAGTGTTTACTTTGCGCTTCTTGCAAAATTAGTTCTAATCTTTTATATATATATATATATATTTTAATTTTAATAATAACTTTTATACATGGTAAGATACTTTTATTTTATAGTTTTCATATTTTATACCGAAAAAAGTTGAAGCCTTACTTGATGAGATCAATTTTATATTTTAGATAAATTTTTAGGCTAATTTATAATAAAATATATATGCTATTTCTAACTTACGTGGTTAGTATTTTTATAAGACTAAGGTAATTTATATTATTTTTTACAAATTTAGGGTTATTTCTATTTTTTTCACTGAAAAGCTAGAAATTTCATTCATGTGCTCAATTTTATGTCTTTTTTGAGGACCTTAACAAAATTTTTAATTAATTGTTTAGATATTTTAATAACAGAATTATTTATGGTGTTTTCCACTTATATGGGTTGCTTTGTAAAAAAAAATTGGGTTATTTCTCTTTTTTTTTCACTAAAAAGCTTGAAATTTCATTAATGTGCTCAATTTTATGTCTTTTTTGAGGACCTTAACAAACTTTTTTTTAATTGCTTAGATATTTTAAAAGTAGATTATTTATGGTGTTTTCAACGTATATGTGTTGTTTTGTAAACAAATTTTGGATTATTTCTATTTTTTTTTCACTAAGATGCAAGATATTTTATTGGTATGTTTATGTGATTGTCATTATGAGGCCCTTCTCAAATTTATTTTGAAAAATTTTTATTTACTTATTTAGATCTTTCAAATACAAATTATTTGTGGTATTTATAACATATAGGTGTTGTCTTTTTTTTTTTAATTGTTTTTTTTTTATATTATTAATCGCAGAAAAGAGCAAGCAATTTCATTGTGTTCAATTATGGGTCATTTTGAGGTCCTTTTTTAAATTTTCTTATGGAATCTTTTAATTATTGCTTTTATCTTTTAAATACAGTTTATTTATTATATTTTCTACATATATGGGTTGTATCTAAAAAATAGGTTATTTATATTTTTAAATAAGCAAGGGATTTCTTTTACGGATTCATTTATTTGTCTTTTTAAGGTCCTTTTTCAAATTTTTTTAAAATATATTTTATAATTTATTTGATAAAATATTTTATATTTAGATTATATATAGTTGCTTTTAACATATAGGGGTTGTATTTTGTATTTTAGAAAATTATTTCTATTTTTTACCTCAAAAAAGCATGCTTTTTCATTGCCGTATCCAGCGGTTGGTCTATTTTTGAAGCTTTTTAATGATAACTGGTTTTGTGCATTAATTTTTTGGTAATGATATTATGATTTTAGTTTTTTGAAATCTTTTTAACATATCTGAAGGTTGTTTTGAATAAAACATTTAAAAATTTTGATTTTTACCTCAAAAAGACAGGAAATTTTTATGCTTTGTTTAGAAATTGCTGGTTTTGAAACTTTTGTTATTAATCTCAATCTAATTTTTTTTTCAGAATATGCCTCGCCACAGCCGACGTTTACTTGGTAGGAATACGGCTGCTTCCAGGAGATATAGGAATGCTAGAGCTATTGAGACACCACTTCAAAGTGAGACGCGTCGTGCGCTTCGCCGTCTTAGGTATTCTGAAGCCCGCGTCGCAACTACACAAACTATGCAAGTTCCTGTTCAGCGTATTCAGCTTTGAACTCATAAGCCGTTTTCAGGTTTGCAGTATAATGCCCATATTGATTATAAAGCTGATTCATCTGTCGATATAGGCCAAATGTCTCAAGTATGCCAGTTTTGCTCTGCTTTGAGATTTAAAGATGATGTAATGTAATAGAAACAACATAAACCTCATCCTACCTAATATACATTGCTTCTGAGGATTAAATATTTTGATTTGTGTTGAGAATTTTGCATGCATTTCTCTATTTCTTTTCTTATCTTGCAAAGCTAATGGATTGTTTAGGTTGCTTATTTTTGACTCGCCAATTTGTTTAGTGATAAAGTGGTATAGCGTTCTTTTTCAGAGCATCACCCTACAAAATAATTACCTGACCTTTCCTAATATTCAGATAGATTTATTATATCAACATACTAGACTACAAACATTCCCTCGAGTAAAACCCGGGCGGAGCCGGGTACACCCGCTAGTAATACAATATAATGCGGATTGTAGAACGACGTTTGACAATTATCCCGCAAATGTTTCTTTTGAACGAAACATTGAAATTCATTTTAAGAATAAATAACGATTATTTCTAATCTTAGGGATATAGTATGAAAGGATGAATTGTGAAGAGTAATGATGAACGGAAAAATAAAGTTTCCAGGGATGGGATTCGAGCCCACAGTGTTCCGTTTACCGGGCAGATGTCTTGTCCACTATAGGCTACCCTGGACATATTTTTCCGCTAGTAATATTTTCCGTTTATCATTACTCTTTACAATTCATCCTTTCATTTTTCATCCCTAAGATTAGAAATAATCGTTATTTCTCTTTTAAATTAAATTTCAAATTTTCGTTCAAAATAAACATTTGCGGGATAATTGTCAAATGAGGTTCTACAATCATAATCCGCATTATATTATATTATAAAGTGTTTTATGTTTATCAAAGGGAAGAAGTTTTTCCCGCCCTCTACAATCACTCTAGAGGGGAGTGAGTGTTGAGGCGTCTCTGCGTGTTGTCCTCCGTAGGGGTGCCACTGACTGACGTCCAGTGAAGCTGTAAGCTGGCCGTCTTTCCTTGGTTGTCTGAGGCGAGGCACACGTGTCTTGAAACTCTTGGGTCTTCGCTCTGTGTGTGCGTCATTGGGAGCGCCCTTGCCGTGCGCGAAAATTGCACCAGGGCTAGGCCTGGTGTTGAAAAACCAAGGGGTGCACACAGTAGTACCACCCCCCCGCCTCCGCGTTGGTTCTCCGCGTCAACCTCAGAACCTCAGAGGTCCTTGATTCGACGGCAGATTCAGGGAGTACTGGGAACTAAGGGTTCGAGGGCTAAAGGGGGGGGAGTCCTATTGGAGCGTAGGACGGGTTCTTCTAAGTCCGACGAGAGGGCTCGGTCAGCAACCTTGCCAGTGACTCTCGATGACGCCTGTGGGTGAGTGGTCAACCCCAGAGAGCCAGACCATAATGGCGGGCGCGAGGGGCCTACCAATGGCCGCTCGGTGCATGGAGAATGCATCATTCCTTCTGGCTGTGTGTGGATCTAGATTTCAGCGAACTACAGGGGACGCAAGGGCCACTTTGAGCCTATATCGTCCCTGGCTTTGCCGAATTTCCTATCTGCTTCAAACATCTACAATCCCTCCAGCTGTTTAAATTACAGATTGTCATTGATGGTTCGACCATTTGGAATGAACTCTTACTTGAATACCCTTTCAAATCTCCACTAGGTGCTCAGCATTGACCTGTGTTCGGAACACCCACGTATGGCAGGTTTACGATGTTGACCTTGAATCAACTACTGTTTTTGATTCTTGAAAAAGAGACACGTCAGCCAGATTCAAAACTTTTCTTGTCGAAGTGCCTGTTATTTTAAGAATAATTAGTGCTGGTCAGGCAACATTTATCTTCAAAATACTGTTTTTTAGTGTTAGGATCACGATTTGAATCTATTTGTCATTGCAATTAAATTTATTTTAAAAAAATGTAAATCATAATAATTTTCTAGTAATTTCTTGAATATTGTCACTTGGTTTTTGACTGAGCTGTCATCAATTCGTGAGGTATAAAGCGGTAGTTACTATTGGCCTTGTCTTTTTCATCTTCTTTCTTATCTCCACTCAATCATATTAGGGTATCAAGCTTGTAGAGCTTTAAACTTGACAACCATCATGACTGTGTGAAGTAGAATGCGTCTGCCTTTATCATTGACACTGGGAGCACTTCTCAGTGGCAGGCCGATTTAGCTCCAAAAGAAATGGCCGCCTCTGACATGAGGAACAGACGCCATGCGCAGCCGCTCCTAACATTGAGTACAAACGCTGCTCATCCTTTACTCCTGGATTAGGAGCCTTTACAGAGTACTATCAGCTGGGCTAGCTGAGCCCAGGTTTTTTACGCGAGCTTGTTACTGCTCCCCCTCTTCCTTTTTCATCCAAGCTTGGGACCGGCAAAGGCGGAGTTGCCTCGTTCATGAGGGTGAAAATCCATGGTGGTTTGAGATGTCTCTAGATATCCTGATAACATTCGTATACGAGTTGTCAGATTTGAATAGACAGCTTGACATAGGACGTAATTTGCTATGATCCAGGACTAACGTGGCTGATTCCACACTCCTTTTTTCAGTGATACGCTAACCTATGCAGGGTGGATTTTGTGGCCACTGGACATGTGTCGGACCTGGAGGCTGTTGTTAGGTGCTGTGCTGCCTGGAGTATAGGAGCTCCATCTATGCTTCCTTCCTGTGGTGAATCTGTATATGACCGGTGGCCTTAGTAAAGCTGTATGCGTATGTGTTTTATTCTCGTGGCCACTGGACATACGTCGGACATGGAGGCTGTTGTTGGATTCTGTGCTGCCTGGAGTATAGGAGCTCCATCTATGCTTCCTTTTCTGTAATGAATCTGTATATGACCGGTGGTCTCAATAAAGCTGTATGTGTGACCTTGGGTTAGTTTCAAGATACCTGTCATCTAAGCAAAATTTGAACCATTTGGTTAGTGCTATGTTTCAAAGAATCTTCCCCTTCAACATCATAAGAATTATGTGCCAATTGGAATACATAAAGTAAATGTTCAATGATACCTTGATGTTCTATGATGTCTAAGACATATTCCTAGTACATAATGTTATATAAACAAGGTATGATCATAAAATATTGTGGAATTAGGTCATAAAATATTTATTAGAAGAATATATACAAAAATGGTTAATATTCCATAAAACTTAAACGTTTTTGTTTGTGATAAGGCTGCCTCCCCGAACGCCAATATCAACATTTGAAACGTTTCTGACGCTGTTTTTTTTCTAATTTTTGACAAAACCTTATGCAAACCCTTTGTTCACTTTTAAGATCCATTAAAAAAAACGCCGCGCCTTGCCATATGTAACATGTTTCTTTTTGCTTCAGCAGCATTATGTGCCGATTAAAATTAATAAAGTAAATGTTCATTGTATTTTAAATTTTATTTGTGGATTAAACCATTAAGAAGTTTTAAATTTCTGTTCACCAGTTTCAACTCAATATGATTACAACAAATTTGATCACTTTATTCAGTTATAGATGGGAATTTTGTTGGAAGGATCTGAATAAATAAAAATAAAGGGTATCTCTCCTATCAAAATAGACTTCAAATTGATGTCTAATTTGATAGGATATGTGACATTTTATCTTATAGATGACTATCCTCCCTGCAAAATTTACATCTATAATTGGCCATAAATTTGGCCTAGCCACTTTGCCAGCTAAATACCTTTTTGGCAGTGTTTGAAGTTTATATGTTAAGAGTTTGTAATTATTCTTATTTTTTAATTCATAGAAGCTTTTTTTCTGGCAGACATATTCAATTTTTATCATCATCATTTTATTATTATTGTTTTTTTTTGTTATCAAATCATTTTGTAATTATAGTTTATTTTTTGTTTTGTTGTGTTCCTTTTTAAGCAATAAAATATATATATAACTAAGGTGTAATATTCAATTCAAGTATATGGAACCAACATCGATTCATTTTAAAAACAAAACATAATCATAGGGTTATACAACTTTCACTTTTTTATACAGGCAGATTGTGAGGATTCCATTAGATTCCATGTGGATATCATAGAATAAAGTTCGCCCTAGCCCGAAACCATGGTCTCTAGGTGGACGCTTATCAGTTTGCCAAAGCTGGTGTTGTGGCTTTGTCACCGACCTGAGGCCGCTAGTTTGCGGCGACGGTCAAGTGTCTAGTTTTGACGTTTATTTTGGTTGAATAAATCACCTTTATTGTAATGGACATCTATTTAGCTATTCACACATAGTATTACACCTAAATTGAGCAATATATATGTTATAAAAGATATGTAATTAATTGAAAAATAAAACTATAACATTTCAATAAATTATAAATTGTTTATTTTTAAATGTTAACTCAAACACACAAAAAGTGGAATAGTTTATATATATAAACAGTTTAGGTGTGGATTAATTAAGTGGTATTTTTTAAATATCTTAATATAAGACATTTTGTGGTATGCTATATTTTTTATAACTTAGTATATATATCTGCCAAGAGAATATTTGGAAATATATAAGCTAAATTGATTCTTTAAAATTTATTTTAAAGTTGAAAAATATAGCTTTTTGTCTTTTTAAAAATTTAGTGCTTTTTTCCAAGTTTTATAAAGCTTTGCTTATTTTGCCGGTTGTATCTAAAATCTACAACCTACTCTATTGGTCTCTATTTGAAGGAAATCAGCGCAGAATTTGAAAAAAAGCAATATTACAGCAGACGAAAACAATTGAATAAATATAAAGGGAGATTAAAATAAAATTCCGCATTGAAATATATTATAAATTTTAAACATTTTTATTATATATTCAATATATATAAATATTTGATAAAATTAACAAATTCAAAAATCTACGCTTTTCAAAAATTCAATATAAAAAAAGGTAATATATTTAAAATGAAAAAGAAAATATTAGAAAAAAATACTAAACATTATTTTCAGACTAAATATTTACATAAATTTGAAAATAACAATAAAGTATATATAATAATACACATATGTTTAAAATTCAGAATTTTAATATTTTAATATTGTTTTTTAAAATTCAAATTTGCTTTTATTGAAAACACCTTCTATAAATCTACTAAATAATACATGCAATTAATAGCGAAAAAAATGTAAGGAAGTCAAATTATTCTATTGAAACCATTTAATCGATAATTCGTTTCTTTAGAATTTGATAATATTTCAATGCGAAATTTGATATAATAATAAAGTTTAAACAAATGTATTTTATTTTTATTTATATCATAAACAAAACACTATATTTGTACATATACTAGGACGTTTAAAGAGGAAGTAAAAAAGTGTGAGAAATGACCAAATTAGTATTGTATTTTGGCTATATTTGGCTTTGATTATTAACTTGGTCACCCGATGGGATAGCGATATGAAAGAAAATCAGCTTATGGTTATATATATAAAATATTTTATTAAGGCATTCGAGATAGAATTGATGCACTTGAGATATAGGCAATTTGTTTATTGGTCATTGTAAAATAAAAGCTTGAAGAAATAGCAAAAATCAAATTTAAATGACGCTTAAATAAAATACACATTGAAATATCTCTCAATATAAATCAATAATAAGCATAGTATACTGATAATTTTATAATGTTAAATATTTAATTGGGCTTATAATTAAATATATATGTATTATATATGAATATTTTACTTGTAT